ACATGAATTGAGGGCTCGGAGCAAGGAAACGCTGCGTTTTTTCCTTCTGCTCCCTGGGCAGCTGCAGGCAGCACCTGGATGCCTTCAGAGCCTGGATGCCGTGGAGGGGAGGAGGGAGAGGCAGCCGGGACCTTGCTCAGCCTCGGATCACAGAGCCACCACCCCAGCTCTGGAGCTTCCCGTGCCCGTGTCCCCTCCCAGGGTCCAGCAAGGGCCCCATCCTGGGCTGGCTGAGTGCAGGGCTCTGGGTGTGGACATCCATCCCCCTGGGGAGCAGGGTGCCAGGCTGGGACTGGGAAGGTGTCAGCATCCTGCTGGGATTGGTCCTGGCACCACGTGGCACCCACGAGCAGGAGAACAGAGCGATGCCCACCCAGCCCTGGGCACAGACCTGTGTCACAACCCCAATAAACCCAACAGGCAGCAACCCACGGGCAGGCTGGGACACCCCATGGCACTTGGGGACCTGGCAGCTCCCTCCTGCCCTCCCGGGGGGATTTGCACTTGGATAATGCCATGGAAGCTCTCCTGGCTGCTCTGCAAACCCCGGGGCTCCCAGGCTGTGTCACTGTGTGCTCCAGGCAGGCTCTGCTGGCCAGGGAGGTGTCAGCAGAGCTCAGCACAGGGCCAGGGCCAGGCGAGGGAGCGACGGGAGGAGGAAACGCTTCAGAGTTTCCAGCTCTGTTCCAAATCAAACACTTAACCTTTTCAAACACATTTTACAGCGGCTGTAATGAGCTCTGACCCCCTTTGTGCTGAGCCATCCTCTCCCAGCACGGCCCAGGGCACCAGCCATGCTGTGAGGGGAGAGGCACCAGGGCCTGGAAACGGGGATTTAAGAGATCCAGTGCCTTGGATTTGCAGGGAGGGGGATGAGAGCCCACATGCTGAGACCGTTGGGTATCCAGAGCCACGTCCAGGGCCTTGGGAGCTGTGGAATGGGCTGCAGGAACATTCCTGGGGCTGGGCACTGTGAGGGTTGAGCCCACCCCATAATAATCCCCAGACCCCCAGAGAGCAGGGAGTGATGACTTGAGGCTCCAGAGTGGCAGGGGCAGTCTGTAATTACAGTGGAATGGGGCAAAGGCTTCCCCAGCCTGCTTTGGCTCCCAGCAGTCCCAGTGCCCGCAGCCAAGTCCCAGCTGGGCAGGGGAAGGGGCAGGGGGGGCTTTGCTCTCCCTCCCTCGGCCTGGGCTCAGCCCTCGCAGCTCGTTGCACGCAAGGGAAGCTGTGGAGCACCTCCCCTGGAAATGTGGCGATCTCAGGAGCGCCGGGAGCAGCCGGGGCTGGCCCCTGGGACCCGGGGCCGGAGCATCGCCCGCAGAACCCGTCAGAGTTTCCAGCAGAGCTCCGGGGCTCGCTCGGCTGTTGCTCCGTCTCCGAGTGACCGACTCCCTCCAGATTCCCTCAAATCTCGGTTCAAGAATGTTGTTTGGGCTGAAGAATGTATTGCTGTAAAAGAAAAAAGGGAAAAGGGAGGCCGGGGTGAGCGGGGAGGTCGAGGGAGGGTTCGCTCGGCTCTTCCTCCCTGACCCTTCCCGTCCCGGGAGCCGCAGCCGTTTGCCAGATGCTGAGGCTGCTCCCCCCACCCAGCTCAGCTGAGGCTGAGCCCAAAGGCACCCAGCGATCCCTGCACCCCCCCACTGCCTGCACCCCCTCAGGACTCCGTTTCCCTGCCCATCTTTCCTCTGCCTGCTTGTGTTGCAGCCGTAGGGGCTTCCGGGAGAGCTTTTTCCAGCACAGCCCTTTGAGCAGGAGCAGCAGAGCCCTGGGGGGGCGTCTGAGGTGATAAAAAGCCACAGGGATGCTCCCCCAGGCACAGGGAATCCCAAGGTGCCCTGTGGACACCAGTGTTCCCAGGGGTTGAACACAGAGCTGCTTGTGCCCTGCCCTGGCTGGTCCTGCAGGTCCCCTCCTGGACCTTGTTCTTTAAAGGCAGATCCCTGGAGGGCGAAGGTCCCAACTGCTCTTTTAGGGGACTCCAGTGACCAGAGTCCAAATAGGAGCCAAGGAATCCATTGGCACCTCCAGCCTTGCTCAGACAGAGCGGGTGGAATAGTTTGGGGCATCACCTGCAGAAGGTGCGGGATGGAGGGACTGGGAAGCCACAATCCAGAGCCCTGTGGGACTGGTGACCCCCTCCCAGGACAGGGGAATCAGAGGAAAATAGCAGGAGTGGGGGGACAGAGCAGCCAACAGCTCCAGCAAAGCTGAAACTTCTTGGAACCATGGAAGAGGCAGGAATAACTTTTCCATGAGTAAAAAGGGAAGCTGCCGGAGTAGCCGTGTTTGTGACAGTTGCTGTTGTTGGATGCTCCTGGTGGGTTTAATCCTCCCTTCATCCAGGCAGAACAAGCTCCAGCCTTAGCAGGAGCATCAGAGCAATGTTTTGGTTCTTTGTTATGCCGTGACGCATCCAGCCCCCGTGCCAAAAGCCTCCTGATAAATCCATGTCCATCCACAGGGAAGCCAGTGCTCCCGGCTCCCAGATTTGCAGATTAAAGGCAAACTCGGGCCAGATTCAGTGGTTTCAGCTAAAAAGCTCCAAAGCATTTGATCAAAACAACTGGAACAAACTCAACCAAAATAGTCCTTGTTCACATCAGTTTGGGCTGGAAAATCAAAGCAAAGCAACAGAGGCAGTGATGAGACCCAGACTGGGATCACTGGAATAACCACACCGGATGGGATTATGTGCTGATAAGGACCACTGGCTTCCAGCGAGCAGGACAGCATGTTCCCAGCTCCTGTCACCAGTTCAGGGCTTCCTTTGAACCATCAGCAAAGGGGAATTGGTGTTTACGAGGAAAGATGTCAAAAAAGCTCCATGGAATCACTTGGAAGGCGAGAGGAACTGGTTTGTGCTGGGCTGAAATGAGCAGGAGATCGAGGTCCCATCAACACCCCCCACGTGCCAGGTGAGGGAGCTGTGCCAGCAGCCTGGGAGATGGAGGATAAGTGGAGCATGAGATCCCAAGGCTGGATGGAGAAAAAAGCCAAGACATATGTTGTCCCTCCAACAGCAAGTTTTCACTTCCCTGAGATAGTTCTAATCTGGTCAGGATGAGGTTGAACAGCACGTCCTGGGGACTGCAGGGGATGCACAGACTGAGCTCAAGCACACTGTTATTTCCTGGTTTGGGCTGGGAAGGGGGGATGTGACCTTGGGGAATGGCCCCATTCAGGGCCAGCTCCTGCAGGGAGGGCTCCTCAGCATCCCCCAGGGACCACCAGCCCCTGGCACCCAGGGCAGGTGCCTCCTCCAAAGGGAGCATGTCCTGGATCGGGAGTACTTTAAACTTCCAGAAGCTGGGGAGGCCCTGCTCCTGTTCTAACCGAGCTGGGGACTGTCTGCTTTTCCAGAAGAACATCCAGGCCCTGAAAGCCTCGGGGCTGTTGGTCACTGGGACCCCTCGAGCTGCCAGAGGTGTGATGGTGGTTGATACCATCTGAGTGCCGAGCAGCAGAAGGGCCTGGCTGCCACTGCCCTCACACCATTTTCCCTGGAATTCAGCTCCCTGGCAGTGGGAACAAACCCCTCCAAGCAGGGTCAGTCTCCACATCCCCCCAAAGCCTCGAGCCCCTCCTTGCCATGGTGAGATCCCTCCTGCAGCTGCCCCACACCACTGCAGCTGCCACGGCAAGGTTTGGAGGGCACAAAGAGTTGCTTCCAAAAAAGCCCCATTTTCCCGGGGTTTTCCTCCCTGGCCTCTTTTCCCACTCGAAGGCATGGCTTCCTCCAGATCCTCTCTCCCTGCAGATCCCAGCACAGTGAGCTGTGCTTTCCAGGCACACTCTTCCTTCCCAAAAAGACAGGATTTCTGGCAAAGTCCCCACTGTACAGTGTGTCCCTCCAGCCCGGCCACCAAGCAGCCTGCACATCCCTCCTCCCTGCACATCCCTCCTCCCTGCACATCCCTCCTCCCTGCACATCCCTCCTCCCTGCACATCCCTCCTCCTCCTCCCAGCAGGGCCTGGGGAGCGATAAGGATCTCTGCAAGGCTCCCCAGGGGAACGGGATGTTTTGGCTGGGAAATCTCTCTGTAAATCGAGGAGAAAGCAAGCCCGGAGGGAGCTGGCACCTGCTGAGCTCCACTAAGTAATTCCAGGCTCCTGGGAGGACCCGGGCTGCTGCTGGAGCCGGGCAGGGGACGGCGATGGGCGGTTTGGGCTCCTCCTTTCCTTTCCTTGTGGGAGGAAATGCTTGGAGAGCCCTGGAAGAGCTGTCTCCAAAGTGCACAGGGAGCCAGGGTGGGGACTGGGGGGGGGGCTGTGACAGCACCCGCTGAGCCCCCACTTTGCAGGAATCCCCTCAGGGCAAGGCTGGCACTGGTATGAGCCTTGTGGCACAGAGAGCCCCAAACCCTCTGCCCAACCACGGGTCACTCTCAGGACACTCTCCCCTGTCCCATCCCACCACCCCCAGCTCAGCCTCGGGGGGATGGATGAGACCCCTCATCCCCGGGGGGTGGGCACAGCCTGCTGAAATGCCAGCTTGGCATCTCTGTCCTGCCAAGCTGGAGACAAATTCCTGCTGTCACAGTGGCTCTTTGGTAGGCAATTTATTTACCTTGGATGCTGCAGCCTTATCGTTCATGGAAATGTTTATCCCAAATATTTAATAGCGGGACTGCATAAACTGAGGCTTCCTGCAGAGGCAGCCCAGGCTGCCATCGGAGCAGCACTAACGTCTCTTCTCCTGGTACTGTAAAAGTTAAGGATAATTCCTTGTCTCTCCCAAAGAATCCCATCCTCAGCACCTCAAAATCCGATATTTTTTAATCTGGCCAGAGGCCTCCTCATCACTCCCTGATGAGAAACACAGGAGACCTGACAACAGCCCTTTTAAAAACAACATCCCAATTCCACTAAGTCGTTAAACAGAGAGAGCCTGAAAAGTGCCAACACTCCTATGAGAAAAGACTGGAAGAGAGAGAGAGAGAGAGAGAGAGAGAGAGGGGGAGAGGGAGGAAAGAAAAAGCAGGTTATTTATAACGCCAGGCAGCATTAGGGTCTCTCCAGTCTCTCCTGCAAACTGGCTGCTGCTGGGAGGTCACTCCCCAAAAACCCTGGCGAGCCCGTGACCTGCAAGCACAATATTTGCTCTGGGATCTGGGGCGGGCACCAGGCTCTGCGGCTCGGGATTCACTCCATGCTGCTTGACACACGGGCGAGCCCGGAGCAGCACAGCCAGGCTTTGGAGAGGAGGATCTCACCTTGGTAAGTCCGGCTCTGTATATATTTATTAGGATTTTTTTTTTTTTTATATTATTATTATTTTTTTGGAAGCCTGATTTCCGTACCTGCGCCTCGGCCGGCGCGGCTGCCGCGGGGAGCACACGCCAGCGACACGGGTGGCACAGCTGGGAGAGCCAGAGCTCCCACACCTCTGGGAAAGCCCTTCCCTCCTGCCCACCTCTCCCACTGCCCACCTCCCATCCCACCCACCGCCCCTCCTGCCCATCTCCCAACCCACCCATCTCTCCTCCTGCCCACTTCTCCTGCTGCCCATCTCCCCTCTCCTGCCCACCTCCCATCCCACCCACCTCCCCTCCTGCCCCTCTGGCAGCTCCATGCCCGCTCGCCTGGGAGCTGGACACCTTCACCCATGCACACCCAGGGTTGGCAGTGCCTCCCTGCCCATCCCATGCCCAGGGAAAGGGGGAGCTGGTTTCGTGCCTGGTACAGCAGCAACGGGCCGAGTCCATGGATGGCCACAGTCCATAAAAGCCCCTTACTCCAAAACCTGCTCCTTCTTGGAATGAGGAGCTGACCCCCTTAGCTCAGCAGCCCCTGGCACAGAGCAGGGACACCAGGAGGTGACATAGATCTCGAGGCTGGAACACTCAGGTCAGATCCCACCCCAAAACCAGGGATGAAGCCCACCAGGGAGGGGAGAAGCCACCCATGAATGAGGAGAGGGTCAGTGGTGTCTGCTGGGGACAGGCTTGGGGTCACCAGCAGGTTGAAGGGGGGCACTAGGAAAGGTGAAGGGACTGCATGGCTGGGTCCTGCCCCAGAGGGGCCCCTGGGAAGGGGCTGCCAAGTGGCTCTGCATGGGTGGAGAAGCTGGAGGCTCTGGTATGTCAGCAGGCACAGTGCCCTGGAGCAGCGGGAGGAGGAGGAGGAGAAACTCCTCTGCCACTGCCAAGCTCCCCCGTGGCACACAGCATCCCCAAGGATCACGTCTGCTCTGCTTCCACACAGAGGGGGAAGGAGGGAGAGGAGGAGAAAGCCAGGAGCTTGTCTGCCCACCACCAGCTCAGTCCCTCTTTTCTTCCCATGCCAGGGTGGCCACTGCCTCCTGCACACTGTGCCCGCTTTGTCTGCCAGGCCAGACACCCCCTCTGTGCTGCGGGTTGGGAACACGGTGAGGGGTCACCAGGTGACCCCGCGGCCACCCCTGGCACAGAGAGGGGGGACACTGGTCCCTGCTCAGCCCTCACCCAGCCCGTGGCTGCCAGAGCCGAGCTGGCAGGGCTGAGCTCCCAGCCACGTATGTAGGAGCCACAGGAGGGAGCGACTCCTCTCCCGCTCCCAACAGCATTTCCTGGAGGGATTTCAAGCTGCCTGGCTCCAGGACACTCCGTGTGCTCATTCAGCCCGGGATGAGCAGCCGTGGCTGGAGTCCCTCCTGCTGCAGCCCCGCCGTGCCCTGGGCATGGCAGGGGGGGGCTGCAAAGCCCACGCCAAGCCACGGGGGTCAGGGCTGGCTTTGCCTTGCCCCCAGCTCCCAGCCCTGCTCTCCTCTGGATCCCAGCCCTCGTGGCTGGATGTCACAAGCAGAGCCCATCGCCAGGTCTGGTGACACTCCCTGTCCCTGGTCACACCGAGGGCCCGGCGGGTGCTGCCCCTTCTCCTGTCGGGGCTGAGCTGGGGGAATCTCAGCTCGGGAGTGCTTTCATTTCAAAAATAAGGCAGAACTTGTTTACCAGGATTTACATCAGTCCCGAGCATCCTGCGTTTCCGTGGGGGGAGGGAGAGCTGGGTGGAACCCACAGCGAGTCGTGTCACCTGCGAGTGTGGCATAAATAGAGCTCCATGAAAGATGCCTTGAGCTCCATCAAAACATGCCTTCAGCTCCCAAATCAACCTGAGCTGGCAGCTTTCCCTCTCCTTCACTCAGCTGGAGAGTTTTCAAGTCCTTTCTCCTCCCTCCCATGCAGAGCCAAGCCCAGGGCACCTCAGAGCAAACCTCGTGTGACCTTACACAAATCCAGACCGTGGGTCCTGTATCTCCATCCTCTACTCACTCCTAGCAGAAATATCCATAAAGCAGGATTTTGCAGGTAAATCTCCACTGGGGTGGAGGTTTCTCACAGGCTTGAGGTGAAAAGGGGGAAGATCAGGTAACTGCACACAGGAGATGTCAGCAGCTGTGGGGTTTTTGGGTAGGATTCACTCAGGTTCTCCAGCTCTGCTGCCAAGTACCACCAAGCCCATCCAGCACATCCCACCCTGCCGGATTCCCAGGCAGTGCAGAACCAGAGCTGACCCTGCTGACGGTTCCCTCCCCCCCTCTCCCTTGGCAGGTCCCTCCGGCGCCATGTGTTGGGTCACCATCACCATCCTCATCGTGGCCGGGCTCTGCGGGGCCTCGCTGGGCCAGTACAATGAGGAGGAGGACCTGGCCTGGCTGCAGTACTACCTGAGGCAGTCCCGCGTGGCCTCCTACAACTACGTGCCCTACTACGAGGACGAGAGCCCCCCGTACGTGTACTCCTACCCCGCAGCTCCCGACACGGAGCCGGAGCCCGGCCCGGAGCCCCAGCAGGCCCCTTCCTGGCAGTGCCCCCAGGAGTGTGACTGTCCCCCCAACTTCTCCTCGGCCATGTACTGCGACACCCGCAACCTGAGGTACCTGCCCTTCGTGCCCTCCCGCATGAAGTACGTCTACTTCCAGAACAACCTCATCACCTCCATCCAGGAGGGCGCCTTTGACAACGCCACGGAGCTGGAGTGGCTGGCGCTGCACAACAACCAGATCAGCAGCGACAGGATGGGCAAGAGGGTCTTCGGGAAGCTCAAGAACCTGGAGAGGCTGTACATGAACAACAACAACCTGACCAAGCTGCCCAGCCCCCTGCCCCGCTCCCTGAGAGAGCTCCACCTGTCTTACAACCAGATCTCCAAGGTGCCCTCCAACGCTCTGGAGGGTCTGGAGAACCTCACGGCCCTGTACCTCAGCCACAACTTCATTTTTGAGATGGGGGCTTCCCTCAAAGGGCTCAAGTCTTTGATCCTTGCTGATCTGAGCTACAACCACCTCAGAAAAGTCCCTGACGGGCTCCCGGTGTCCTTGGAACAGCTTTACCTCGAGTACAACTACATCAACGCCATCCCTGATGACTATTTCCAGGTGTCTCCCAGGCTGCTCTATGTCCGGATGTCCCACAACAGCCTGACAAACCAAGGCCTCTCCTCCAACACGTTCAACAGCAGCAGCATCCTCGAGCTGGACCTCTCCTACAACCGGCTCCAGAAGATCCCCCGGGTCAACACCAACCTGGAGAACCTCTACCTGCAGGGGAACCAGATCAATGGTGAGCAGGAAGGTGCCGACCCAGGCGTGGTGGAGAGGGGATGGTGGCACAGGGGATGGATGGAGGTGCAGGAGGGGATGAGGAGATGGGGATGCAGAACATGTGGGAGACCACCTGGGGTAATGGTTTGAGCAGGAAGGTGGAATCTGGGAGACTTGCAGGTGGCCCTGAGCAAGGCAGGAATGGGACCCGTGGCATCCCAACACACACGGAGCCCAGAATGCTGGGGTGTGATCCAGGGGGTCATTGCATTGGTTTTCTGGCTGTTTATCAGAAGCCTGAACATCTTCTGGTTGGAGATGCCAGAAAGCAGGTGAGGCACCACCTGGGGAGGGGTTTGTGTTTCCAGTCCAGCAGTGCTCACGGGTGGAGGGGTCAGCAGCAGTGGACAGAGGTGGGGTGTCCCCTCTGCCATGGTCACTGCACGTGGGCAGCACTAACACAGGGGTCAGGGATTCCCCTGCAGTGCCCAGGCCCAACACAGCCCCCTCTGCCCACCTTCCAGGGCCCCACCACAGCCCATGGCCCCATCCGTGGTCCCAAAGCCCCCCAGGGGTCCCAGCCTGCAGCCCAGGGGCTCGTCCTTGCCAGGGCTGGGCCAGACAGGAGCTCTCAGTGATCAGAGCCCTCCACGCAGCATCTTCTGCCAGGACTGAAATCCACTCCGCTTAATACACAAATAAATAACAGGAACAGATTGTTCTGGGGCTGCTATTTATAAAAATAAGCTAGAAAAATAAACCCCCAAGCAATCTCCTGGAAAAATCCAGCCTTGCCCCCTCACCTGCCAGACCCCGAGGGCAGGACCCTCCCGGAGCAGCACTGGAGCCCCCGGGGTTGGAGTCCCAGGGCTGGGACAGGGATGTGTCAGTGTTGCAGAGAAAACACACAACCCCGCACCGGGGAGCTGACAGAAACACAGAAACAAGAACAGATTCCCGAATGTTTGCTTTCAAAATCTGTAGCTGTTGCCGTCTGCCCACAAATGCCACGGAGCCACCGCGGAGCCGCTCGGGCTTGGCAGCAGCTTCTCCTCCCGCTGCACCTTCTGCCACCGACCCTCGCGGCACCCCCGGGTCCAGCTGTGCAGCACCAACCCCTGGGGGTGCCCCCGGGCCGGGGCCGTGCCCCTCCAGCCCCCAGTCCGTGCGCTCGGGGGTCCCCCCACATCCCCCCGCCTTCCCCAGCAGCATCCCGGCCTGGAGCTTTGCTGCCCTCTAGTCCCAAATCCTGCACAGAAAAATGTACGTTGGGGTTTGTTCCATCTCCTCCTTCCAAACCCAGTCTGGGCTGGGCTGGAATTTCCCTGCCTGGCGCTGGCAGCATTCGAACGGAGAGGGGATGTCTGGATGGGGACAGGGACATCCTTCCTCCTGGACATGCTGCCTGGGGGTCCCATGGTGGCCAGGCAGGGTCAGGGGATGGAGACTGCAGCCTGTGAAGCCTCCAAAAGGGGCTACAGAGGCAATTCCTGATGAAAGGAGATGTTTTCCATCCTACTCCACCCTATGAGCTCCACCCTGGCTAGGCAATGGAGCCAAGGACCTGCTTCCAGACCCTTGGATAGGCACAAACCTGCCTGCTCCTTCTGCCTGCAGCCAGGAGCATCAGGAACCCTTTCAGTTTAAGAGAGGAGCGTGTTGAGTCTGAATTCACAGCGATTTGGGGGCGCTTTGTTTTTTTCCCTGCCCACCTTAGCATAAACCAACTCTCAAAGGTTGATACCTCTGACCCAGCATCCCCTTTGCCATTTCTGACATCAGTCCCCAAAAACCAGCCCCATCAGGGAGGCTGGAGGGGGCTGAAGCCTGTGCTCAGCTCCACCCTCTGTCCTCCACAGAGTTCTCCATCAGCAGTTTCTGCTCCGTGGTGGACGTCATGAACTACTCCCGGCTCCAGGTCCTGCGGCTCGACGGGAACGAGATCAAGCGGAACGCGGTGCCCCCCGACGCCCCCCTGTGCCTGCGCCGGGCCACCGTCATCGAGATCTGACCCGGCCCCTCCCACCCTCAGGACTTGGCTCCCCCGACCCTGGGGAGACCCTCGCCCCGTTCCAGTGCAGCTTCTCAGCCTGACTCGGCTTCGCAGTAGTGCAATCAGGGGGCTCCGGCAGCCGGAGCCTCTCGACCCCAAACTCTTCGTCTTCCCAGAATTCTCCCTCTTCCTGACTCTCCAGCCACGCAGGGTGGGATGGATCCCAGCACTCACCCCCCTCTGACCCCACCACAGCCACCCCCCCCCACACCTTCTCCCCCGGCCTGGGGGGGATGCAGCGGGGACGGGGCTCATCCCACCTCTCAAACCTGGCCCTGAGCATCCGACCCCCGGGGGGGGGTTTAGGTGAGGGGTCCTGCAGAACCAGCAGCTCTGAACCCCCTGGCCACAGGAGAAGCATCCAGGAGGTTGGGAGCTGCAGCAGTAAAGGGTTAAAATATCAGTCTGAAGCATCCCTCAGTCTGGGATGAGGAAGAGCAAATCCACTCCTTCCCCTCCATTTCCCCCCTCCCCCCTTCCATCAGCCTCCTGCTCCAGAGTTAAAGGAGAGAAACCTTTCCTGCTGCTGGAGTCAGAGAGAAGCCCCCTGAGGAACAGCCTGGTTACAGGTCTCAAATCTTCCTCCCAGCCCACTGGATCAGGGCAGGACGGGGGTTGAGGGATGTGGGAATTCCTGGTGCTGTCACTCTCAGCTGCCTGGGCACCCCCCAGCTTGGCTCTGAGCTCCCTCCCTGCCCAGGCAGCCGAGGTACCTCAATTAAAAACCAAACAAAAAAATAAATTCCCGCGGCACCGCGTGCTCCCACAGCACCTTTGAATCCGCCAAACCCACCCAAGTCGGACCCTTGGGCAGTTCAGTCCGAGGACCAAAGGGGCAGCTGAGCTTTGGGGATGACCTGCAGGGGTCACCCCGACCCTCCGCGTTGTACCTGCATGCGAAAGAGCAAAAACCCCCCCGAGACCCCTGTACCCTCCCGGCATGAACTGTAGGCACCAAACCCACCAATAAAGCCCTTCCCAAACTGCACCGAGCGCGTCTGAGGAGCCCCTGCCCGGGGCTGCTCCGAGCACCGCAGCCTCCCCTCTCTCAGGCCAGGTCTTTTTTCTTTTTCCAGCCACAATCCAGGCTGGAATTGCCGACTAGTGGCTGTCCCAGGCATGGCATGTGCGCACGGAGCCTTCCCCGCGCCGCGGAGCTGCCGCTCCACCGCATCCCGGCGGGGTCCCTGCAAGGACATCCATAGGAGGGAAAATACACCTGGAAAAGTGTCAGCGGAGAGAGGGAGGGAGGGCGGCACCGCTGGCTGTTGTTTTCCGGGGGTTCTCTGGGCTTCAGCCCCGCCGATTTTCAACAGCTGAGCTGGAGGATGCTTTAAAAAATGGTAATTTCGCACGGAGGGGACCAGAAAGTTCCATTTCCCAGCCTATGGGCTCCTCTGGCTCCAGGTTGGGAGCAGTTGGGGAGGCAGAGGCTGCAGGCACTCTGTGGGATGCAGGAGCTGGGCTCCCCAAAAATCCCTGGTCCCTGGCTGGGGGCAGCCCCCCAGCTCCAGCCAAGGCTCCTGCAGGAGCCAGGCAGAAGGGGAGGCCAGAAGATCCCACTCCATCCCCTTGGGCCACCCCTTCCCCATCCCCTCCCACATCCCAGGGCAGCACAGGGACACCCACATCCATCCTCATCACAACCTCCCACAGCCAAAACCCATTCCCTGCAGAGACCCAAATCCTCCTGGAGGCACCAGGACTGGGGACTCCTCCTTTGGGGTCCCACCATGTGCCCAGCTGGCCAAGGACCTCGGGAATGTCACTGGATGTTGGCATTGCCTGTCACAAGGGGTCCTCTCCAGGCTGGAACCCACCTCCTCTTGGTCCTAAGGTCAGGTCTGTGCCCCAGGGCATCCACACTCCTTCCCAAAACACAGCCTGCAGGAGCCAAAGGGGCTGGGGGGTGAGCTGGGGGGGGTTGTGAGGCAGCCAAGCTCATCAGCTCAGGAGGGACATGGGAAGAAGTCTGGGGGGAAGGAGGGTCTGGGGGGAGCAAACAAAACCCGGGAGAAGCAGCTCCAGTGCTCCTCCAGCAGCTGCTTCCTCCAGGCAGGGCCATGGGATTGCTGATCTACACCAGCTGGGGGGAGGCGAGGGGGCAGAGGGTCAGGGCAGCCCCCTGCCCTGCTTCTCCCCCTCCCCAAAAGAAAGGGAGAGACCCCATTGGTCCTGGGCGAGCCCACAGGCACCCAATCTCTGCCTTGTTGGGGTGGGAATGGCAGGGAAGGGGGCTTGGCCCCCCTCCTCATCCCCTTTCTCCTCCTCCTCCTGTTGCTGGGAAGAGGTGTGGGGTCCGAGGGGCCCCAGCAGCCTGAATCCCACCGGGAAGGAGGGAGGGGAGTGTAGGGTTTTGTCTGGATCCACAGAGCAGGATAAAGAAGGGGGAAACCCCAAACTGACCCAAACCCATCTTCCCCAGCCCCCCTGAAGGTGAGCCCTGAGCACGGGGGCTTTGGGGGGCTGCAGCAAGGGGGAGCAGCAGCTGCAGCCCCTCAAGGTCTCCTTTGGACTGTGGGGTTCTCCCGAGGCCTCTCTCCATCACCCCTGTCCACGGAGGGGCTCGGACCTGGGCACCCACCTTGGGGCTCTCCTTGCATGAGACACCAAAAAGCAGCAGCTCCCACTGGGTGCCCCCCACGGGGTCAGGCAGGATTTCTCCAGAGCTCCCCAGCAGCCCCCAGACTCCACCTCCACTTCTTTCCACCTTTTTTCTCTAATTCTAATTCCTCCCCTTGCTTTTTTCTTTTTCCCCCCTTTGCATCATCCCTCAGCTCCAACACTTCCCAGACTGTTTGTAAACATCCCTTTAGGATGTTTCCTCAGGAAGTGCAAATTTCTGTTTAAAAACAACCCCTCAAAAATATTTTCCTTTGGAGAAACACACACACACACACAAAAGCAGCAGCGAGGCAGCAGGTTCTGGGTTTGCCCCAACTCTGCCAGAGGGGCCCGGGGTGGGACAGATCCCCCCTCACCCACCCAAGGGACACGAGCTCTGGGCACGTCCCCGTGCCCCAAACTGAGCGTGGGAGTGTTTGCAGTCCCGGCCCAGGGAAGTGTCACGTCCTCCAGCGCTTCCCTTTGCTCGATTCTTCTCGGATTTAACCCAAACGCTGCCGTCTGGGGGAGTCCCGGGGACAAAGGGACGGGCGGGCGGGTCCCGGGGCCGCCGCCCCCCCGGGCCATGTGCGGCCGTGCCGGGGCCGGCAATAAAAGTTGATTATTAATAAGCTGCCGGGCTCCGGCCGCAGCAGCTGCCACGTTGCTGGGAAGAGATAAGAAAACTGTGGAGGCAGCGGGAAAAGAGGCCGGGGAGGGGCCCGGGCACAGGGACACCCCCCACCCCCATCGCACAGAGGAACAGGCTGAGCCCTGGGGGAATGAGGGGGTCCTGCTCTCACAGCCCCACGTCAGGAGTAAAAAGAGCTGGGAGTTTGGCATTTGGGGCCTCAGGATTTTTCTCTCCAGCCACCCCGGGAGGATGAGTAGCTTGGGGTCTTGGAGCATGTGGGGGCCCGGCCCCCTGAAGGGACTGAACATTTTTTGGGGACCTCTGGGGAAAGGTGTCCTTGTTCCCCACACGTCCCCAGAAGCGTCTGGGCACAGGGGAGAGGCTTGGGCAGGAAATTCCCAATCTGTTCAGCTCCCATTCTTGCCTCCCCTTTTGTTCCCCGGCCATCTGTCCCCAGCCCCGCTCACCCCACGCTCCCGCCGCATGTGCCATAAATATCAAGCCGGGCTTTGTCTCTGCTCCAAAAGGCAGCGTGGCCCCCACAGCCCAGCCCTGCCACGGCCCCTAAAGCTGCTGGGGGCTGGCACAGCCCCGGGGGGCTCACGGGGTGGGTCTGGGTTTGGGGGGCACAGGCTCAGCATCGCTCCTCTCCCTCCTCCTGCCCCAGCAGGATTTCGGGTTGGCACTGGGAGGGGGGTGTTGATCTGCCACCACAACCATCCATGGGATCCATGAGCACGGCCTTGGAGATGGACCCCATCACCAAACTCATTCCAAAGGGGGAAAGGAAGGAAAAGGAATTCTCAGCCCGGCAGAGCTCAGACCCCTGGTAGGCTCCCCATCTCTGGGCTGCCCCCCAAAATCACACCCTGGTCTGTGCTGACCACCCAGAGGGGAACCTGTTGGGGCAGATCTCAGCCAGACCCTCTGTGGAATCCCCCCGTGGGGGCTGGGATGGGGGGACAAGCTTTGAGGGAGCCCCCCAGCCCCCCCAGCCATGTCCCATCCCAATCCAGCCTTTTAATGACAACAAAGCAGCGCCCGAGTCAGCCGGGGCAGCTGCTCCCTCAGCCCTTCCCCTTCCCGGTTTTATCCGGTGCTATAATAGGCACAAACTCCCTGGTAAAAGGGCATTGTCAGAGGGAAGAGGGGCCTCGCCCTTCGTCTGGCAGCTGGGAATGCTGGGATCAGGGGCTCAGGGAGATTGTTTACTCCAACTGGTTCCCAGTAACATCTCTGGGAGGTTCCCCAAAGGAGCGGGTGTCACATTCACGTGGGTGTTGTGTCCCCTCAGCAGTGACACCGAGGGCTGCCCCATCCCTCTGGAGCAGGACACAGGAATACCCTCAGGGATACCCTCAGGAATGAGTGGCCCTTGCAGAGGGGATGGGGCAGGTACCAGCCTGGATGTTGGGATGTTTGGATGCCCCAAAACATCCCTACATGAGCTGGTGGATCCTGGGGCACAGATCCCAGTGTCACCCTTAAATCCTCCTCTGTCTGCCTTGTCAGAGCCAGCCAAGACTGGCAGGGATTCTCCATAGCTTTGGTATCCAGGGGAAGAGGGGAGATGCACAAGGGACATGCAGCACCTCACACAGCAGCTGTGGGGTTTGGATGCAGCCTGTGGGACACTCCTGGGGTGACTCCTGGGGATGTGGCAGAGGGGGGAGCCCCACGAGCCCCCTGGTGCTCCCAGGAGCTGGGAACATGTTCCCCCAGACAGGCAGGGCCCATCCCAGCCATCAGCTCCAGGCTGGGCCCAGGGACGTGGCCCAGCAGGAAGCAGATGCCGAGCAAAGCAGGGACTCAAAGCCCTGAACAAACCCCGGCAGCAGCTGAGACTCACACAGGGCTGGGACCTGCCCCGGGCCCTGCCTTCCCATCCCAGACACGGCTCCAGGGGAAGGAAAACTGCCCTGAGGAAGTGAATGCAGGCTCT